AAAACAAAATCCTGTTCAAATATTGGCCAAGACAGCCCACAAGGCTAACAACTAAATCTGCGCGGGCGGAGATGTTGCAACATGGCCTAATCCCCGAGATCGTAATGTTCTAAGCCGGCTCGGGATTAAATTGGCTTAGACGAAACCTAGGAGCACAAAAGGTGAAATATATACATTTCATCAAGGATTGATCCTTCTGCCATTCTGTGGGTCGCATAATTTTGCGCAGTCTGCCGCAAATGGGAAACCCCAAAATGTGAAAATCCGGCTTGTGGAGGGGAACTGAAAGTAAAGGAAGTCTTCCACCGCCTCCGGCAACCAGAGTCCGGAGGCGACCATCAATCATCGTCAGGCTCCGGGGCACATTAGCATTTATGAACTTTTGGCCGAGTTGATTTTTTCATGGCTTGCCAGGGGTGGCTTGGGGTTGAGGCTTCCTCGGATGGGTTGACTTTAATAAGATTTTCCATAATTTCATGCGCTTGTGCATATTTGGCAGTCAATTAATGTCAAACTAGTTGCCACAGTTCCCGGCAATCGATCATAAAGTAATGTAACTGCAGCTCACACAGTAAGGGGAAGGTGCAATGAAATAATTTGACATTATTCTTGTGACCCGGTCTATGAATATGAAGGATGAGGATAAGGGAATGAGCCAACATCATTAGAAATTAAAGGTGCAACAGGGTCTCACTTGATGTGTTGATGTGGCTCCGATAAAGAACTAAGAACTTGGCCTAATGATTCCATTTTTCATTAAAGTTGCAATCAATTGGATATGGTTTTTAGGATTCACTGGTTCACCCAGATGAGACTAATTTAAAAAGTCATGGGAGCACTTCTTGAGGTTCTTCAAAGCGATTTAATTTCGATAAGAAGGAGAGCCTCAATAAACCACAAACAAATATATTAATCACATATAATATAAAATCCATAAAACCAAATACAAAATCCCTTAATTCATTGGCGTCAAATTCGGTTTAAAACAATCCAATACACTTGTACAATATACACTTTTAAACCTTTTCCAATTGCATTTCATTAAGTTAATTAAAATAAACCGAAAATCCCTGCCCCGTGAAATGGAATTTTGCAACTTCGTTTCCATGATTTTTTTTTATCCCAGAGAAAGCATTATTAAAAGCGTGCTTTTAATGCCATTTTGCATTATGAGTTTAATCCAATTGTTGATGAGCTGAAAAAATCGCCACAAAAACACAGAAACAACAATCAAATGATACGGTAATTAGTTAATTTATAAATATCATATAAACTGCTCATTTATGAATTCAATTAATGTTCGCAGACGCGTGACCGAAGTGGATTAAGCTCTAATTTAATAACTTATTCGATGGGCGATAAAAAAAGAACCAGAGAGAACACAAAGTTATTATTGCATTATTGAATGAAAAACCTCAAATGATTTACGCCACAAAACTGTCAACAGTTCGAGGGAAGAGTACTCGGAGCAGTTGCTGCCACATGGCGGGGGATCGGTTGTCCAAACCCACAAAACCAAAACCAAATCTCAAAGATCCTTGGCCACAGATGCGTTTACAACTCACCAGAACGCCTTCTTCGTTCTTCTGACATTTCGCATATGTCATGGATAGATGACTCTACTTTAGGGAGCTGTCAATTGCCTTGGATAATGTTGTGCTCTGACTGTAATTTATTCCTCTTCTCGACTCAAGTGGATCGCCTGGCCCGACCCGGCCCGGCCACATCTGTGTAACCCTAGATCGCACTCGGCACTCCGCCTCCCAGCTCCCTGGGCACATCCTCCTGGTCTCTTGTGGTTCGGCCCATGCCAAAAGCCACTGGTATAATCACATTGTTGACTGCAACTGCAACTAATTACAAATCAATTTGTATCAGCCCCCAAAGGCAAATGAATTCTGGGGGGAATTCCAGGGACTATGTACTAACCGCAACAGGAAACGGGGATTGTCGTGGTTAGAGCCTTCTTAACACCTGCCTGCACCCCATTAAAATTTTATATAGCTGTGTTTTTGAAACAGACCAAGGGACCTCCTAAAAATACAAAAATTGAGACTGAAACTTCGACACAGCCGTAAATCAGTGGAGACATCTCTGACATCCTCCCATGTTAACGTGACGAAATGTTCGGCAGGAGTATCATAAAAATGTGGAATTTTAGAAGTGATGCCTCAAAATTGATGACTGTCGTTTATGATCCTGAAATTGAGATGTTTTAGAATCTAGGCTCTCGATTCTAGAGGATGAAGTACTCAAGTTGTTATAAAGAATTTAAATAAATCAAAATATACCACAAGATGAGATAAATCTTTAAGGGCAAGTACGTTTTAGTGGTTAAGTATGTGGGTGATAAGAAAATACAGAGTTCTTAAAATAATATTAAATAGTTTGTTGGATTTCTATCCAGAAAATGAAATGTTTTACAAAATCCTATAAATAACTGAAATTAAAGCGTTCAATTAATCCAAAAACCTAATAAAAATCCCTACCCCAATCAATTTTTTTTTATACAACAAATTCCAGCTCATTGTTTATTTATTGTCTAAGCTTATTAGTACTCAAGTTTCTGTAGGTTTTTTTTTATTTTTTATCTGAAAACCTTTTTCAAACTGTGTGGCGTATATAAGCACTTCAGCTTCGATGCCCCGGGCATTGTTCGAGGATCTTGAGAAGAAAAGAGGAATCATTTGTCTTCTAATTATGATTTCAATGGCTAAGCAAAATCAAAGAAGGCGTAATTCGCTCTCACCAGTGCCAGGACAGCCAGGTCCTGGCTCCTTTAAGGCGGCAAATCGAATCAAAGAAATAACAAACAAACAAACAAAAACCACTCAGAACAACGGAAAAGAAGACTCCTATGCTCCGGTATTGTTGACAGGACTCTTCCAAAAAAATAAAAAAGAAAAAACCAAGGAGACCGCAAAACACACTCAAACAAAAAAGGAGGAGCAGGGCGATTACATTTGCACAAAAGAAGCGGAAAAAGCGATCAAAGAGCCAAACAAAGGGCAGGAACGACCAAAATCGGCATCTTAAAATATATATGTATGCTTATAAAGCAGGGCCTCAACACGTATGTCATGTCCAAAAGGTGAGGTGCGGTAAACCGAGCCAAAAAACCCCTAAGCATACCAAAATCCAAACCAGATCCGTGCGGCCAGCTTAGGGGTTTTTGCATCTTTTTGTTTGCTCGACATTACGTCGTCGTCTTTAAGCTCTTTAAGCGAAATTAAAACAGCGGGAGGTGACTAAAAAAACAGCTCAATTCCCCATATGTTCCCCATATTCCTTTCAAATTAATCTCTTTTAAAGGTTATAAGAAAATATGTTGGCTAAAAACCACATAATAAAACAAAATAAAACTTCTTTAAGGGGCTTTTTGAATATAAGCTAAAGTTCAATAGGAAAGGTGTTTCTCTTCTCCAAATTTCATCCGATTCCTAAGCGGGATACCTTTAACGATTTGTAGATCGATTCTCTGTCAATCTGCGTCAAAACCTGGAAGGAAATTATTTTTTCGATTTTTTGTCAAATTTTCTGGGGGTCCCCTTCAAAAATTATGAGAAATGCATGGAGGCCCAATATGAGCCAGGGCGAAGGCCATATCTTGGCCAATATTAATCCGATTCCTAAGCGGGATACCTTTAACGATTTGTAGATCGATTCTCTATCAATCTGCGTCAAAACCTGGAAGGAAATTATTTTTTCGATTTTTTGTCAAATTTTCTGGGGGTTCCCTTCAAAAATTATGAGAAATGCATGGAGGGCCAATATGAGCCAGGGCGAAGTCCATATCTTGGCCAATATTAATCCGATTCCTAAGCGGGATACCTTTAACGATTTGTAGATCGATTCTCTATCAATCTGCGTCAAAACCTGGAAGGAAATTATTTTTTCGATTTTTTGTCAAATTTTCTGGGGGTTCCCTTCAAAAATTATGAGAAATGCATGGAGGGCCAATATGAGCCAGGGCGAAGTCCATATCTTGGCCAATATTAATCCGATTCCTAAGCGGGATACCTTTAACGATTTGTAGATCGATTCTCTATCAATCTGCGTCAAAACCTGGAAGGAAATTATTTTTTCGATTTTTTGTCAAATTTTCTGGGGGTCCCCTTCAAAAATTATGAGAAATGCATGGAGGCCCAATATGAGCCAGGGCGAAGGCCATATCTTGGCCAATATTAATCCGATTCCTAAGCGGGATACCTTTAACGATTCGTAGATAGATTCTCTATCAATCTGCGTCAAAACCTGGAAGGAAATTATTTTTTCGATTTTTTGTCAAATTTTCTGGGGGTTCCCTTCAAAAATTATGAGAAATGCATGGAGGGCCAATATGAGCCAGGGCGAAGTCCATATCTTGGCCAATATTAATCCGATTCCTAAGCGGGATACCTTTAACGATTTGTAGATCGATTCTCTATCAATCTGCATCAAAACCTTGAAGGAAATTATTTTTTCGATTTTTGTCAAATTTTCTGGGGGTTCCCTTCAAAAATTATGAGAAATGCATGGAGGGCCAATATGAGCTAGGGCGAAGTCCATATCTTGGCCAATATTAATCCGATTCCTAAGCGGGATACCTTTAACGACTTGTAGATCGATTCTCTATCAATCTGCATCAAAATCTTGAAGGAAATTATTTTTTCGATTTTTTGTCAAATTTTCTGGGGGTCCCCTTCAAAAATATGGAAAATGCATGAAAGGCCCATATGAGCCAGGGCGAAGGCTATATCTTGGCCAATATTATTCCGAATCTTATGTGGGATACCTTTAACGATTTGTAGATCGATTCATAGTTAATCTGCTTTAAACCCTACGTTTAAATTGGTTAGCTGTATCTTTTAAACAAATGGTATTAACAATTGTATTAAACTGGAAGAAAATGTAAATGTATCTTACTAAAGCACGAATTGTATTTAAAACTTTTACATTTAAAGCTTATGTCTCTTGGAAAACTCTAGCATGGACGGCAACAAATATACATCCTTATACATTCAAAGCGCCATGGTTATCAGATCCAAAGCATTGTCCTCGCAGTGGGCCACGTAATTGGAGCAGCCCAGGCCACGCGTGCCCGCATCGGAGGCTTCATACAACTCGTCCACGTGCTGCAGTTCCCTTTCGGGGGCACTCGTCGTGGGTCTGCCGGCGAAGAGAAGATTGGATTCAAAGGATACAATTAGTGGGTATGAGGGGACTTACACGAACAGAATGTGAAATAGAGTGCCCACCAGGCCGTTGTGCGGATCGAAGGGTGTCTCGCTGACCTCACAAATGATACGCAGGAGGCAGGCGGTGCCGTTGAATCCGTAATGGGTCATGAAGTTGATGATGCTCCGGTAGAAGTCCAGGCGCCGAATGGGAGGTGGGGCGCCCACTGAGCGACGTTGCACTTCCTTCTCCTCCTGCGAGCTTCCGTCATCCTGGCGTGCATTGATGGGGGTTACGTTTCCGGGAACTCCCTGGAAGGGACCATCCAGATTCCACTAAGAGGTAGGAGTTGGTTAAAAATTTGGTTATTTTCGGTTTTAGCTCAAACTTACCCTATCAACCCATTGGTTCCATGAATCATTGGAGGGCAGTGCATAGTTGGACTCAAAATTAAAAGCCATGTACACATTTTTAGGCGATAAGTCCAAAGGGATAGCCACAGCTGCCAGATACTGAAGATAATTGGCTTTTAGTTACTTTTTATTTGAAAACTCTTTAAAGATAAACTCACACCAAAGGATCCTTGACGTGGAAATACCAAAAAGCAATGAACCAAACTTAAACCCAAAATAAATCCCAAACTCAAGACCAGCATCCAACAAATGGTTCTCATTTTGACCAAAGCTCTTGGGCAACTAAATGCATATGGCTAAGAATTGCATTCTCAATTGTGGAATTGGCAACACCTCCATTTCTCTAATTAATGAGAAGAGTGAGAAGTGGTTTACGGTAAAGTGAAGAAAACCGGAATGTGCGAGATTTACACGGTTGCCACATGAACTGTCTCCATCGGAAGACACAGAAGGTGCTAATTCTTCTCAGAATGTTACACATTCTGGAGGCGAGAAAGTATGTATCTGTGCGCCATAAATCATCTAGATTGATTGATATCTACATATTTTTTATTGAGAACTCAAGATGGAAATTCGTGAGCTAGAAAGAGAACATCCAAAAATACAAATAAACCCAAAGTTTAGTAGCACAAGACCGGAGCTGGAATAAACACGTACTGGGATTAGCTCCATAATAGAAATTAGAAATTAGAACACACAGAAATGAAGTCCAGCATAGGCGTAGGCATTTTGGTAGCCACTTGCCTACTCTGCCAGGTGAGGACCTCTTTGGGCAGTCTTTCCAAGCACCAGAGAAGCAAAAGAGCTCCCATTCCATGGCTCATATATCCCACCACATCACCCACCCGCGTCATGGTGAGTAGGATTACGGATTAAAGAAGTAAAAGCTCCATAAAGACCTCCTCTTCATAACCAGTTCATTGGCGGCATTGGTATTCCCTTGGAGGATCTCAATTACGAAGCTGTGACGACGGGATATGTCCTTAAAGTGGAGTACTGGTTGCCCATCACTCCGGATGACCTGAGAACACCCACAGGTATGCCCCTAAACCAGGTGGCCACACCAGGATCGGTGGGATCGAGAAAGCAGCAGAAGCCCATGTTCGAGAACTTTCTGGTTGGTGTGGACGATCTGGGGAAGAACACCAGGAAGTTGCTGACCAGAACCAACAAGGTCCTGAGCAGCTATCGCTGGACGGTCTACAAGGGCCTGGAGGGACTGGCAGATCGCCTGGGCTATCAGGGAAGGATCTGTGTCCTGAAGAGCATTTGCGAGGCCGCCGAGGAGCCTTTTCACTTTGCCAATGGACTTTTTGCGGAGCTGCTACACGTATTACTAACGTAAGTAAAGGGTTATTCATTGTGAATATATTTATTAAGGAACTATATTCTTGTCCTTAGTCCTTCATCGTCGGTGGATAAGCTGTCGGAGCATGCAGACAATGAGTACTACTACGCCGAGAAGGTTGGTCATTCCGGGGCTGGCTGTGATCGAGTTTTCCAGGAGTGCCGTCTTAGTTTGCTCCAGCATTTCAGTGAGCTGCATCACAATCTGGATAAAGTTTTATTTTGAGGCAATAAAGCGAGTGAAGGAGAACCGAAACTAAGCCAAACTTTTGTTCAGTGTTCTTTGTGGAAGCGGGGCGAACCAAAGTCGGTCTAAACAAAGTCCAGTGCTAATTGGCAGAACGTGAACTTTTTGGTGGTGCCAGAAAGTTGAACAGTGCCTGCTGAAATATTGGACCAGTTCGGACCTGACCAGTTCTAATCGTGACTCAAGTGTGCCATATTCTCCGGTTAACACTTTCGATTTCCCAATCGAAGAAAGTTAATGGCCGTTGGATATTAAAGCGAAATCACTCCGGTATCTAGTCGTCATTTTGATTTTGATTCGCAAGGTTGGCATTTGTTAGCAAAAAAAAGTGACTTTGATCCTTTGATATCCTTTGATCCTCATGGAGATCCTAATAGGCATAGTCCTTAGCCTGATTTGTGTTTTCAAAGCTTCTGCTTTTGATGACAGTCCCTCTCAAGGTGATGTTTTGGTGCGGAAAGCTAGATGGTTGCCTTTGATTTATCCTCGAGCCAATCCTACCAGGTTGCAGGTGAGGTACAGATGTTTTTTAAGATGAATTTTTCTAAAATGTAACCTCTTTAGATGATTGGTGGCTTTGGTATCCCTGTGGAAGATCTTAAAGTCGAAGCTGTGGTCACTGGTTATGTCCTGAAAGCTCAATACTATTTACCCTACTCTGTCAAGCAGTTAAGGACCAAGAATGTCCACGATATTAACGAGGGAAGACTACTAGGAAATACCACAACTTTCGAGAGAATCTTACAAAAGTCCAAAGATAAATTTGACTTTAATCCTAGTCTATGGCAGGAGGATGTCCAGGCCCTGGGTAGCTATCGATGGTCAGTCTATGAGGCTTTCACTGCCCTGGCCATTCGCATGAAGCTCAATGGAAGGTCCTGTGTCCTGAAGAGTATTTGTGAAAGTGCCTCAGCTCCTTTTGATGATCGCAATGGCTTGTTGGGTGAAATACTGCACATTTTGCTAACGTAAGTAAAGGATTCTCCTGTGTTTGTATAAATATTATTCTTACTCCCATTTTTAGTCCTTCTAGTTCAGTGGATCCTTTTGCGGAGCATTCGGACAATGATTACCTTCAGGCTGAACATTTTGGAGTGGCTGGTAGTGACTGTGATCAGGTCTATCCACAGTGTCCTAAATCATTGTTGGAGCACTTTAGTGATGTCCACCATTTGGGCAGCGAGTTCTTGAATATGTTGGGCTAATATTATGGCCCAAATCCAGCCTATTAGTTGTGATATTTATTTATAAGTTTTAAGTCAATATACAATATAAGATGTACATTGTATGTATGCCGTATAGGAACTTCTTTACTCTGAGAACTACCAGGCCCCATCCCATGTTGATTCCCCGCTTGATTTCACCGGTAGCAGCGTGAAATTTATGCAAATATCTACATAATAACTCTTTTTGTTCCTCTGTCCTGGCCTCATCATCATCTTTTCGGATATTTCTTCACGCCTGGGTGGTCTGCTCCCTTCCCCGGCTATCAAAGTGTACGCATCTCGCAGTCTCTTTAGGGTCTATTGTCTTCTAATTCAATAATTACAGTCGGAGCTTTGGCTTCGGCTACTGGGGAATGGGTTTTGGGTCTTGGGCTTAGGGGAATGGGTTGCTGGGACCCACCACCGTCTCCGAGATGGTCCGAGGCCTAAGGTACCTGGGACAAATAGGCGTTTAAATGCAAATGTCTGCGCTGTAATTAATACGCATAATACGCGTATTATGCTAATGCCAATGTCATAATGACTTGAGGAAACCCGAAAACTGGAAGAGACTCGAAATATGCATTTCACACTCGCTTTGGGGTTCAGACTTGGACTCGAACTCGGGCTGGGACTTAGACTCGGTCATATATTCATCACTACTGGGAGCTGCATTGTTAATGCCCTTTACGAACTAATTAGCTTTGACAAAAATATAAACATGGAAACAAAGCTACTAAAAATTAGTAGCTATGTTTTTGGATGGGGATGAGGATGGTTGGGGGACTTTCTCTAATGAACAGCTCTAGTTCCCAGACGGAGCCACTTGTCTGGGTCTTTTCTGGCGATGACGAGGCCCCGATAAGACTTGGAATATATTTTGACAGGAGTCAACAGTCAAGATGGGGATCTTGGGGTAGTAGTAGCTCCGAGAGAGATGCACCTTTCACAATTTTCATGTTGTGTTGCTTTTTGGGGATTACCTTTAACCCCACTCTAGGCAATCATTTTCATTTTCATTGCCTTTCTTTGGAAACAATTTGTAGGGACATGCAACTTAACGAAGTAATCAGAGGCCAACTCCGAAAACCGGGGCCAGATGCTTATCCGATCCCAGCGACAACTATTTTATGGCCTTATGTGAGAGCTGGAGGATGCTGGCTGGTGGAACTGGTGGCACTGCTGCTGTGTCTGTCTCGGTCACTGTTTTTTTTTTGGACCGCTTTATATGGCCAGGATTGCTATTTTTGGTAACCCTTTTGTTTTTGCCTCGAGGCAGAAAAGTGGGTTACAGACACATACACACATACATACCTCTTCGTGCCAGCACCCCCAACATCCTGGCAAACTACTCTGTAACTGGAATTTATGCTGCGTAATAATTCTTGGTCCACAACTAAGTTGGTAAAAACAATGTTACAAATTGTTGTGCTGCGTATGCAAATTCCCTGACTGCAAATGCCAGCTATGTCAAGGTTTCCATAAGCGGGTTGAACACTCTCTATAGTTGGTGGCCAAGGAGTACCCACCAAATAGACCAGGCCAGCCCCATTTCGGCTCATTAATTTCCTATCATTCGGGCTTTTAAGCGGTTTTATCTCTCAATTTTAAACGACTTTTGATGGTAATTCCACTTGATCTATATCGCCACTAAGGCTCCTTCCCTCCAAAATGGCCCATAAAATCACAAACCTCGTAGATCTTATCTCCGATTTCGTATATTTCATGCTAATTAAAAGGCCCAGATATTTGTTTAGCGATAAACAATAATTAATTGTGCTTATTTCTTTTCCTCTGCACTCCCATTCCCATACAAAGAGCCATTCCCTGATTGAGTTGTATCTATGTGGAATCAGTTTCAGGTGGTTTCGGGCGCCATAAACCAAATCAAGTGCTGGAATGGAGTTTTTGGACCCTGTGGGTATTTTACTCCACAGCACCCGCCACTCCAGTCTCTCCAGCTACCATGACGTATGCACATTGTCATCATAACTCTGGCCATTGTCTCTGATTCTGACTCGCAGATATACCTATATATTTTTTCTTTGCTTTGCATAATTTCGACTATAGTCGAGTTGGTTTTTTGCGGGGGCGTGTGTGTGAACTGCAGTTTATTATTTAAACAACGTGACTAAATTTACGTAGTGCCAACGGAGTGAGACGGACAAAAACATTGGAGGGGAGAGAAAAAAAAACACCCGCAGGTGGTAAAACAATAATAGTAATCGGTGCTACACTGGATAGAGGTTCATAAATTTATTTTATTATAATATAATTTTATTTATGTATAATTTTATAGAAAAAGGATTATTTTGAAATATAATTCAACTAAGAGATGCTGACAGATGCCATTAAATTTCAAATAAAAACTTGAAATAAAAGCAACAATATTTATTTCTAGGCTATATGATACCCGGTACTCCTCATAAGACCTCCGTCACAAGTAACAACCTCTTAGCTCTTAAAACCCTATTTTTGAATTAAAATATCTTAAATTATTTCCTATATTTGAAACCACTGTGCATACCTCCTGCCTGGCATATGCAAAGTGAGCTCAGCTTTGGCCCCAGACCATTTTCGCATGATAAATCGTTAAAGGAATATGAAAAAGAAACCCGCGAATTGTTACAGAAATAACACACAAAAAGCGAACCTTGGTGAGGAGTCGAACCCGGGTACCTGGTGACCCTACCTACATACTCCACTTTGCCCCTGCTCGGGCCCTACTTTGTGGCATTCTCCCGCCTTCGTCTTTTGTTTATGCAAAAAGCTTCGCGGAATTGGCGCTACGTACGTGCCAAAGCATTTCATGGTCTGGCAACTTAATTCACCGGGATGTGTCTCCACAGCCTCAACTCCCCCCGAAACCCAGAACCGGGGCATATGTTTCGGGGACCGACCGGAGACCCCTTACCCATTTTTGGGGCTCCACTTCCATGCGGGTTCCATTTCCATTCATCTTCTGTTTGCCCGCGTCTGTGTTAGTGTTTGTTTTCCCAGCCTCCGCCTCCGCCTCGGTCCCGCCCCATTTTTCTCTGGCGCTCACGTGTAAATTTTCTCAAATAAATCATTAAAAGCTGCGCAGCAGCCACCAAGCACATTGACATTGTCAGAGGCTTTTCACCCACTCAGGGGGTGCTGGGTACTGGCCCCCCTTTTCATAGCCTCCTGTTTGGACCCCTTTTGTAAGCCCACTATGGTACCCCCCTGGGCGTTGCAAGGCCGCTCTCATAATAGTAATCAACGCTGGGAGTGCCCTTAGTCTCGGTCTCATCCTCATCCAAATCCACATCCTGAACCTCAGGTGCATCTATTCATAGATCCTTTGGCTTCCTTCATAAAGCGCCGTGCCATTGCACTCACCTTTTATTTATGTCTGTATGGGTTTGTCAGTGTGTGTGTGTGGGGTTTTTTGTTTGTGTGTGTGTGAAGAGGTTAGTTAGTGGCACTTTAGCGCTAAAGTTTATACATAAATTTGTCATTGGCATTCAGTTTGCTTCGCATATTTCACATCTTCATGGCCCTTCTGAGGCTTTTGCATCCACTACATTGAAAGAAATAATATATAGAAATATTTATTTATTTTTAGAAGATCTAAGGACTTTTAATCTGATTAATAGCACACTTTTATTCATACTATTCATAATTATTCACAAAAAAGTCATACTAACTGTCTAGTTATACTATACTAGGATTCATACTGATGATATCTTACATTACCATATCATTATTATCATTACCATATTATTATCATATATATTCCTTTGCCTGAATGATTATCTTTTATTTAAGCCCTATAGATATGTAAAAATAACCCCTTAAATATTTAATTAAATTATTTCTCCAAGTGCTTGCCTTGGGCAAACATTTGTCTTTCTTTTCATCTTGCAGCTTTTCAGGAGGTCTCTACATTCAGGTTGTGTTTTCCTTTGAAATGACGTTAGTAGTCTGCATCCTGTGTTAAGGCTTTTTAATTAAATCCCCAAGACTTCCGTGGAAATCAGCTAACTGACACCTTAACAACTCATTTTTCATAGACATAAGGTAAGTTGCACACCCCTGCCAGGGCCTTGGTAGCATAATTTATAAGAAATCTGTTATTGTCTTATTAAGGACGGAAAGCCGAGTTCCGAGGCGCCATATGGCGTCAGATGCTTAGCAAATTGAGCGATCGGCGATGACTTGGCACCTTCCCAATCCCAAGCCCAGAAACCGCATCGCGACATGAACATAAATATATAATCGAAATGGAAAAGCGTGTCGAATGGCCCACAGCTGTGGTTCAAAAGAAGCAGCGCCGGGTGGCAGGCGACTCAGCCAGTGGAGGATGAGACTCGCCGGCAATTTGCAATGCCCGCCTCACTTCCCACTCGCCCCCTTGTCCTTTTACATTTTTTATTGCACAATCAAGTGTTGCAGTTGCAAAGAGGGCGCCGACACGCCCACTTCACGCACTTCAAGCCCACACACACCTTTGAACTGAAAATGTGCCGCACTTCACACCCATGTTCCAGAAACTACAGATGCATACAGTGAGAAAAATTTCTAGGGTTTTGTTGGGGGCTATTATATATATTTTAAAACTAATCTTAAAAATAAATAGAAACTTAGTATATTATCGTACTTTATGGTATCTATAGTATATTATAGTATGTTATACCGTATCAGTATCATAGTTTATCATTCAATATATCATAGTATCTAATAGTATCGCAGTATGGTACAGTATATCAAATTATAATATCTATTTTATAAGCAAATAAACTCTATTTTTTACAGTGTACCGGGAGATCTATAATAGACAACGCGAGCATGATTCAGGGAATAGTTTTCGATGGCTGGATGAAGAAATGGAGGGCGGTGGGAATGACTGTGCCTAATGGGCGGCCTGCACTTGAGTTCTATTTGCTCAAGTTCAGGCCGATGCTCATCATCGAGCCCGAATGCTGTGAGTGAAATAAATTAAGAATTTTAATGCGGAAAAAAAACAAAGGGATTGT